ATATTTAAGATTGGTTTCCCCGTCAAACCACTCGATACCGTGATAAATTCGTGAAAGCCAATCGTTGCATCGTCTTGATTTTTGTGGTAATTCGGTGAACGAGAACGGGGGCATTAAGATCCAGTTTCCGAAANTTGGTCGATCTACCGCGACAAACGCCACTTCCTTTGGAATAAATTCACACGCGACACCGCGAAATCCTTGCATTTCTATGATCACAGCCNCTTTATACGGATACAGTGTCATCGCGGAAACGAAGCGAAGATAGCGGGGACTAGCACAAAACTGAAATCTCTCCACAAACGCTCGCGACAAAGGCCTTAGTAGAAAAGAAAGTGGGGGAAAAAATATCATGATTTTTACGCATGTGCAGAGCGAGAATATGTTTANCCGTTATAATCCACAATGATTTGGCGCGATGAATCGATTTCCAAAACACTGTCGAATTCCGCGTAAACAAGGCAGTTAATAGTCGTTTCAAGAGCTTTTTCAAATCGCAAACTTCCGTGCTTCACGAGATTCCAATGATCGACGCAATTGGCCGATAAATCAGGCGTGAGATCGAAAGCAAAGAGTGTGTAACCGTGCGCATAAGCATCTCTGCTTATAGCATTGCCTTCGTTTAGAAAATGAATACCCGTCCCCGAGAAAAGAGTATGAAAAGCCTCGATGTAGAGAGAAGCGTCTTTTGAAAAAGAAGGTTGTAACGGTCTAGTAGGAACCTGCATTCCATCGACGTAAAGCGACAGGAAATTTATATTAAAGTTTTTAAAATTAAACGGATTCATTACACTATCACCGTTAAACGCCTTATTTTCGACAAAACCGATTATCACTCGCTTCGGTAGTTGACCGAGTATGGCGTTGTCGATTGATTCCCCNACCACCCCTCTGTGAATTGTGAATGATTTAACCTCGACCCTCGTGAGAGGATATTTNGCTGTAGTTTTACTCAGCATTTTAGCATGGGCCAATAACACTCCAGCGCTTAGTTTGGCTCTTCTTATGATCAAGGTGGCGTCTACAATACGAACTTTTGTTTGCGATGTAGGTTCCATAAGACAGAAAGAATCCTTTGAACGGATTAGTCGTAGTCGCATTTCCACACCGTTAATTAGAAATTTATCCTGATTGAAAACGTCGCAATGTAGATGTCCTATAAGATCTACAGGACGTTGGTTTTTGAAATATTGCATACGTCTCACAAGAGCGGGGTTCTCATTCGGCGCAACTACCCCCGAATCCATCAGACCCGGAGGATCGGAATCCCATAGCGAGGTGGTGAGATGGGAAGTTTTTGATTCTGAAGAATAATTCAATAATGTCTCGAGATAAGCGCGATATGCATAAGCATTGTTCGGAGGCGACACGAGTTTCTGATTAAAATACACGTCGATTTGGTTGAACATAGAATGTAAAAAGTTATTCACAGGTCCCACTGACGCTGCCACTGCATCACCTCCGCTGTTAGAAGCGGAAGGCGGGGGTTCAGGGGTGTTCAGTATTACACGAAGACTAAGAAGAGTATGCGCGAGGTCTATATAGTCCTCGCCATGACCAGGTACGACAAACTCTATGGGTGCGTCGTCCGCGAGAGTCGACAAAGGTTTGTAATGAATCCATTGCGAACTCTCGATACTGGTCTGAGTGGGCGGTAGAATAAAAAGATCTAGTTCACTCTTGAAACACTCGTACGAATGGGTATGGAGAAAAGACATNGCGCCTACGAGAATATATCGCTCACGGTACGTTTCTTGCTCGCGCGTCGTTTGCTTGCGCTAGTCTTTGCTCGCTTCTTCTTCTTTTTCTTCTGAATTCCTCTTCTTGTTGAGTGTTTAATTGTTCCTGTTTTCTTTTTTCTACGTGTA